AATGTGGAAAGAAGGAGAGAAAAAATAAAACCGGGGTAGATTATAGACAGGAAGACAGATCCCGTGGTGGGTGTGGGAGGTATAATGATATTACCGGTATGGTGGCCTGGGAAGTCCATAACAGCAGGTCTATCATTACCCCATAATTAGCTTCTGGCTCTGTGGCGGCGGCGGTGAGGGGACATTTGCGTTGTTTGTCAATTGGTAACAGTATTATCTCGCCGCCTGCCACAACGCTCCAGCAACATCATTACAGCCGGCACTCAATCAACAATTACCCCGCCGCTCAAACAAGTTTCAGCTGGAGTTTGGGCCGCTTTCACACAGGGAGTATGTTCCTTCTGCCAAATTACAATAATTATGATTCATTTATAGCTGTGATTGACAGCTGAGCGAGGTCTCATGAAGTCTCTCCCACCTCACCGTGCGCGGCGTGTTGAACGTGGCAGGTGAAGCTGATATTTAACATGTACTGTTGCCTTCTGACAGTTTGGAAAGTTACTGTTCCCCATTATATGATGATTAGACAAGAGTGGGCCTTTTCTCCCATCGCCGCTGTTAATGGCATATTAATTTGCTGTATTGAATGTGGCAGGCATTGGAGGGGAGCGCTGAAACACACATGCTAACTCGACACAGCCTTTCAGTTCACTTCATCTTTATTTAAGCCCTAATGGGAAATCAGTGAAAGGCATTTAAAAAAAACAGCACATGTAAAATCACTTCGGCATGTTGTGGCAAAAAGAGACATTTTTACACTTACATTTCAGGCGTTTAGCTGACACACTCCAGAGAGACGCACAATGAGGGAACGAGTCATAAAAGCCTCGGTTCCTCGATCACCAGCGTCACACTGAAGACATTTCCATTTTACATTTGAGCTGCTGCTTTTATCCACACTGACTAAGAGCTGAAAATCACAGAAAAGTATACTAAATTGACTCTCTCGCAGTTCTCTTTTGTTCTCTGTGCTAAATTTCGACCTCTGTCCAGCCAACAAACTATACAAGACTATTTGCAAATTTAAGGTTGTTGCAGGTAGAATATCTGACTGTTTATCCCATCCAGGCTGTTTATCAAGAGCTTTGTAACACAAACTCAAGAACTATCATTTAGAATAGAATAGAATAGAATTCAACTTTATTGTCATTGCACATGCACAGGTACAGG